TATATATATATATATATATATATATATATATATATATATATATATATATATATATATATATATATATATATATATATATATATATATTTTATTATGGACACATATGTCCGATTTCAACACCAGGCTTGAATTGTCTAGTTATAAAATGAACACAATGTTTAATGCTAAATTGAATAGCCAATTTAATCATTGTTAACTGGTTTAAATAACATATATTGTGGTCTATATATAATACTAGTATGTTTCAGTAAATTCAAATCAATGTAGGACAGAAAACGTTATTACTTTGAATTTTGAAAGGAGGGACATATTAAAGATTTGATGGAAACAGAATAATATATAAAAATCATGAATCAATTCACTCATAAACAGCTAATATGTGCAACATATTAATGTTAAACCCCTAAAAGACCTTTATGGCCAAGTCTATATTCATTTACTGTCGAGCTAAATCAACTTTGACTCGCCACTGACATAAGATCGGGATTCACATTTGTTAGTTTACACGGTTTCAAAGGCTACGAGTTTGAATGGATTGAAATTCATCATACAAAGGTGAAAATACCTTTGTGATAAGCACACAAATTAATGTTTGGATGAATCCACACAAAGACAAACACTTACACGACTTTAGAGGCTTCCCTAGGAGCTGACACACATTGGTTTCAAGAAAACCAAATAAAGCAAGTTTAGCATTTGGCATGTTTAGTGCCCAACCATGTTGTTTGAGCGTCACTAACAACATCTTCAACCCTATACCATAATTTACTATAAAATGAAATGAGAAATTGAATTATAAATAAACAAAAAAGTGGTTACTCCATAATTTACTGTAAAATAAAGTGGAAAATTGAATTATGAATAAACAAAAAAATGATTACTCCATAAATGGAATAATCACTTTTTGTTTATTCATCACTCTATTTCCCACTACATTTTGCAATAAATTATGGAGTGCAATTGGAGATGCTCTAAAATTTCAAATGTGACGCAGATCATAAAAATACAGATCAAACATATAATGCAGATCATGTAGATTATATACAGATCAATCCGACAATGCAGCAGATTAGCCAAATTATACAAAAACATAAATTTAGTTATTTACCATATTTGATTAAATATTAGAAAAATAAAATAAATAAATATATAAACTAAAAATACAAGTACTAAGTATTAATTACTAAATAACATATATGAGTTCACCATTAGTATAAAATAATCTATAAAAACAATAATTATTTTAACTATATTAATTATAATGAAAAATAAAAAATAATTATATATTTCTCTATCAATGTAAATGTTATCTATGATTTTCAGTGAAACAATTTAATTTTTGGTAGTTCATATACTTTCGGGTAGCCGAATATATAAAAATATTAATTGGATATTTAGAATAAAACATATCCGGATACTTTTAAGTAGTTTGGTTACCTTATAATATTTTAATTACATTCAATTATTTTGTATACTTTGAATAGGTTTTTGAATTAAATTTTATATTTAGTTATATTGTATGTATATACAAATAATTTTTTTATATATTCGGGTACCCGTTCAATTTTTGGTTTGGTTATTTTATATATAGAAATATAAGAACGATTCGAGTTTTGAAGGTTTCGGTCTGGTTCCAGTTTCAGGTGTTTTGGTTTGATTCCAATTTTTTGTCCAGTTTGAGGTATTTTGGTTTGATTCCAAATTTTTTTCCAGGCTTAATATTTAGTTTTATCTATCTAAATACTATATTCATTTTTTGAAATTATATAATTCAGATGATACAAAATAACATACATAACTATATGTAACAAAACATATACACTTTCTATTAATATATATAGAAAATGATATATGTATATTGTATACTTTGATAGATTAATTTATTAAACGGAAAGAAAATTAAAGTAAAAAAATAACAATTTTGAGAAGATTTGTGTTTGAGAATGAAAGAAATTAGTAAAGTGATAATATTTATAGATACTGTTAGAAGAAAATTAATGTTTCTATTGGTCTTCAGCATTTTTTAGCTTTTTTTTTTGTCTATGCAGATCAACATATCATTGGTCAGTTTTGATCTGCATGCAGATTTATTCTTGATCTACAGTTATTTTTGTTCTACAATTAAAAGCTTGGTTGACAAATAAATGCAAATGGTTCTGCATAATAAATAGTCTGTTTTTGTTTTGTATTTTAACTATACTACATTCAAAGCCTAAGTTTTCTGATCACAGTTGAGTTAATCATGAGTGGGCAATTGACTTTATGGGTTCCTTGAGTCATAGTTAAATTATTGGCTCGTAACTTGTTGGGTCGGATCATTGGTCGTGAAATAGTCGTTTTTATATACATATATATCAGGTTGAAATCATATTTCTATTTCTTAGAAATTTTAAAACATAAACTAATTAGAAGTAGTTTGGATTTGGTTCGATTTTAAAATAAAAAAATGAAAAACGGGAAAACCAGAGTTAAGTCCGAAAAATATTCGGGTATTCAAGTTGTAAATTTTTTTTAATTTTAAAATTACATTTTTATCTATATGTATTTTAAATATTTTTATTATATTTAAGATATTTGGGTACTAATTCACTTCTCAATCTGGTTTTAGTTCAGTTCTGATTTTTCAAATTTATAGAAATAGGAATTTCTTTTGGTTCCGTTTCGGTTTTAGTATTTTGAGTTCCGTTCTGGTTTAATTTTCGGATATATAATAACCTAAGACTAGAATCTAATGTTATTTGGATAATCATTCTTAATAATTTAATCATTAGTTTTTTTCATCAATTCATATGTTATAACTTTTAAAATCTATATATATTGAAAAAAATTTATAACTTTGGTGGAGTTTAGAAATACACAAACTCTCTACAAATTTAACAAAGCTTTACAAATCTAGCAAAAACCATGCAGTTCTAGAAATCTCTCAATTTTTAAAATTAGCCAATTGTTTCAGAATTTGATCCCCATTAACCCCTTCTAGTTACCATTGCAAAAAATTTTTTTTTTTGCAAAATTAAGTGGTTACCACATAAAATTTATTGTAAAATAAATTACATGATTTTTGCTTATAACTAAAGAAAGTTTTGTAGCTAGAGCTGGATTTTTCATTTTTCTATAGTGATAAATCACTTGAAATGAAGGCATGTTCTTCTCAAATATCAAGTTCTACAGGTGACTAGAACCGATCAATTAGTTTTGGTTCTAAACTATGGAGTCATCTTATCTCTTTACAATAAATCACTATTTCAACGATATTGAAACAACATAGCATCCCACTCTCGACGCATTTTCATAGTTTCGTAGGGTCAACAGTGAAAGTTTTATGGAAGATCTATAATTCACAAAATTATCTCTTATACATTTATGTTATGAACCCGTAAATCAGTAAATTATTTCTTATACATTACGATCCCGTCAGTAAAAAATAACTTAATTATTGTTATATTACTTTAAGTTGACGAGGTATGCAGTGGCGGGCGCCCGCCGACTGCATATGGCAGACTCTACGATATATACACTTTACTAACCAACAATACTATATTTCTTCCTTTTTGTCAACTCTGTATAAAATAACTGAATCTCTCCCTATAAATGAACACCCGTCGTCACCTTCGGCCAAATTTTTTTTTTATTATTATTTTATTGTAAACTTAGCGAGCAGCCGTGTTTGAGCATTCGTAAGAGCACCCCCATTGAGAGTTCAAATGGGGGGTTCACACGGAAACCAAAAAAATAAAATAATAAAAATTTATGAACCCCTCTCTCCTAAAGTTTACCCGGGTGAACCCTTCTCTCCTAAGGTTCAACACGTGTCGGCCCGGGATTGGTCTAAGTTTTTTTTTTCTTTTTTTAAAAAAAAAAAAAATTCAAAAAAAAAACAGAAATTTTTTAATAATATAAAATTGATTCAATGAACCCCAAATAAGGGGTTCATTGATGTGGATACTCTAAAGGGGCAAGGGGTCGGACGTGAACAACTTTGTAACTGATAGAAGCTTGGACGAAACTAGTGTTAGTGTCAAAATCTGATGCAAGTGGATCAGTGATCACACCATTTTTTCTTATCCGTTTTAATTATTTGTTTTGTAATTACCTGGATATTAATGTAATTGGGTTTTATTTCTTTACTTTATATGTGGGCATTGACTACTAACAATTCTAACTATAAACAGACCGTAGTTTGTCTGGTCTCATTGTTTGGTTGCGTATGTATTTGTACTTGGACTTGTTATGCGGCCTGAGATATACCTAAAACACATATAACCTTTTCAGGCATTTTTAGATATACAAAAACTCTAATTTTGTGATAATTTTTCGGCAAGAAAATTATACAAATCAAAACAAAAATAATTCATCATAAGACGCGAAATTAATCTAAAATCTTGAAACTGTCTACAAAACTTTAAATAATCACCCTATAATCTTTCGGACTAGTGAGAACAACAATCAAGTTCACCCGCTTCTTTGCATCCAAGTAAGCTAAGCCATTTGTTAACAAAAAAAATATCAAAGCTAACATCTCTCTCTCTTTTTCTTTTTTATCAAATCAAAGCTAACATCTCTATGTTGGAAATTTCGAGGAGAGTTCATATGTACACCACCCTTTTTCTACTGAATCGTCATACTAAATGAATAATAAACCCTATATTATATAAATAACCTGTCAAAGTCAAAGAAAAGTCGTATTAAACAAGGATCACTAAAATAAAAAGAAAAAAAAAATCATCTAAAGAGTCAACGTTCAAACATGCACTCTTATTTATATCTACTATTTCGTTATATATATATATAACCAACCCATACATACAGACATAGACCATCAACCTTCTGTTTAGCTTCGACTCAAAAATAAAAACAACCTTTTGTTAGCTAAACCAAAAAAAAAGAAAAAAGAATCACATGGATTACGTTTTGGTTCTATTGCCACTCGTATTGTTTCTACTAGCTTACAAGTTCTTATTCTCATCAAAGCGTTTCAATCTCCCACCAGGACCAACTCCCTTTCCCATCGTCGGCAACCTCCACCTCGTGAAACCGCCGGTCCACCGTCTCTTCCGTCGTTTTGCTGAGAAATACGGTGACATCTTCTCCCTCCGTTACGGCTCTCGCCAAGTTGTTGTCATCTCTTCTTTGCCACTTGTCAGAGAATGCTTCACTGGTCAGAACGACATTATTTTAACCAACCGGCCGCATTTTCTGACCGCTAAATACGTTGCTTACGACTACACCACGGTCGGAACCGCCGCTTATGGTGACCATTGGCGTAATCTCCGCCGTATTTGCTCTCTTGAGATCCTTTCCTCTAACCGTCTCACTGGTTTCCTCTCCGTTCGTAAAGATGAGATCAGACGGTTGCTCACGAAACTCTCACGTGACCATAATGGCCGTGTCGTTGAGCTTGAGCCTCTTCTTGCAGATTTGACGTTCAATAATATAGTTCGTATGGTCACAGGGAGACGCTACTACGGAGACCAGGTTCGTTTCATTTAAAATAATTATATAACAATGATTGATACGTATGGATTCACTAATCTTTTATGATATTTAATATAATTATATAACAATGATTAATACAATACGAATGGGACTCTGTATTTTGTTTACTATTTTTCATGCATAAAAAGCCATCGATGTGGACCATTTTGACTAATTTAATAATGAAATTATTTTTAAAGGTTCACAACAAGGAAGAAGCGGACCTATTCAAGAAATTAGTGACGCAGATCAACGACAATAGTGGTGCGAGCCATCCAGGAGATTATCTACCAATTCTCAAAGTTTTCGGACACGGCTACGAGAAGAAAGTGAAAGCACTCGGCGAAGCCATGGACGCTTTCTTGCAGCGATTGCTCGATGATTGCAGACGAGATGGAGAGAGCAACACAATGCTTAGTCATTTGTTGTCTTTACAAGTAGAGCAACCCAAGTATTACAGTGATGTCATCATCAAAGGCCTCATGCTCGTGAGTTCTCTCATCCGAATAAACCCCTAAAGAAATTTTTTTTTTATAAGTCCCCTACAGAATCATACAAAGTATCCCTTTTTGTGTTTCTTAGTTTGCAGCATGCGGTTACAAGTTCGAATAAAAATTTCTTCACACCAAACATTAATACATTACTACATCTGTTTTAGAAAGATACAGTTTTTGGAAGAAAAAAAAACTGTTTGAAATTTTTTTTTTTTTTTACGTTTTCTAATGGTTTTTCATTAGCTAATAATAATAAATATAAAATTTTGAAAAATAAATTTACTATTTACATTTTTATTGGTTTAAAATGATTGGAAATCGACAATCGTATAAAATAATGTATTTGTAGTTAATATTTTTTTTTAATGCGATATGTGTAAAAACTCTGAAACATACATCTTAAGAATATAGATATTATATTTTAGTTATGATTTGGTTATAAATGCAAACATTGAAAAATGTAAAATAGATGGTTCATGTTTACTATTTAATTTACAAAATATGTGTGGACTAACATTTTGAACGTAATGTAGAGTATGATGCTTGCGGGGACGGACACATCAGCCGTGACGCTAGAATGGGCGATGGCGAGTTTGTTGAAAAATCCTGAAGTGTTGAAGAAGGCTAAAGCCGAGATAGATGAAAAGATTGGACACGAACGTTTGGTCGACGAACCGGACATTGCAAACCTCCCTTATCTCCAGAACATAGTTTCCGAGACCTTCCGGTTGTGTCCAGCCGCACCGCTCCTCGTCCCGCGTTCTTCTTCTGAAGACCTCAAGATTGGCGGATACGACGTACCGCGTGACACCATCGTACTAGTCAATTCTTGGGCCATCCATAGAGATCCGAGGCTTTGGGATGAGCCTGAGAGGTTCATGCCAGAGCGGTTCGAAGACAAAGAAGCTGCCAACACTAATAAGCTTATGGTGTTTGGGAACGGACGAAGGACGTGTCCTGGTGCGGCTTTGGGACAGAGAATGGTGTCGTTGGTTTTAGGATCGTTGATTCAATGCTTTGACTGGGAAAAAGTCAACGGTGAGGAAATTGATATGGCCGAGAATCCAGGGATGGCTATGCGTAAGCTCGTGCCGTTGCGAGCCGTTTGCCATCAGCGTCCCATTATGGCTAATCTTTTGGCTTAAAATTACACTGTGATTACTGGTTCAAGTTTCTTTCGTTTATAATTTGTTTGAATTTTGTTTTTGCGTGGGTATTTAAAGATGCAATGTTGTAAATTAGATCACGAAAGAACAAGAGTTTGTTGATATACTATAAATAAAATGAAGAGTTTTCGATAGCAGTCTCCCATTCCGTAGAACAAGAGTTTGTTGATATCACTTTGTAAGAGCATATCAAAATTCTTTTGAGAGAGCGTCTACCGTTTTTAATATAATGATATACATTGCTTTTGTTATTTAACTTTTAAAACAACAAAAAAAACTTAACCGGTGAAAAACAAATGGAAAGAAGATATCTCAAAAGTAGTTGAAAATTTCTCACTAAATTTTTTTTTGTTCTGTTCTCCTTTGTGATTATTTTTTATGATTTAGTGTCTAAGAAATTAGTCGGGAGACCTACATTTACTCTAAGAAAGTCTTCTCTATAAAATCCAACGGTAGATGCACATTTCTGAGAGCCTTTTTGATAATTGTACTATTCATATATTAATATGTTGTTTTTTTGTTAATTTATTTAAAATGAAACAACATACTAAAAATTAATATTTTGCATTAATTTTCTATAAATCATCATTAATTTTATGATATTTTGGTTTCTTGAAAATTAAACTCAAATAATTTTATTTGATTAAATTAAATAACATAATACTATATTTAAAATTATTTTATATAATATGTACTATATATTTAGTTTTTATTTTTATTTCCACCACAAAAAATAAACCAATGTAATTAATTAATTTAAATTGATTTTAAATATAATGGTAGAATCTGTAAATAAAAAGAAATACAAAATAAAAATATTTAATTTATTGTAAATATAATGGCTACATGTGTAAATAAAAAGACGTATTTAATATGTTATCTATGTTTCCAAATAATTCTCATTTATTTTGTTATCATTGTTTCTAAACAGTATCAAAAAATACTTCAATTTTAATAATATAGATTCATGTTTTAAGACCCATTTGACTATCCCAAAATAGGTTATATACTTATATCGATGAACAACACCTTTACTTGGAAATTAGTTTGGATTTTTTTTTTTAAGTCTGGGATACACCAGATAAAAAAAAAGTAGTTGACAGAAAAAAACACAAAATATTTGAATTGTCGGAAAGAAAAAAAAAAGGCCAGCAACAAAGAAGAACTCTAAGAAAGCCCAAAACAATCCCCCAGAGAACAAAAAGCCTCTGAAGCAGAAAACATAACCGTATTTGTCGAACAAGCAAGCAAAGAGTTCAAATAAAAATACTCAGGTGATGATTGTTTGCATGGTTTTTAGATTTTAGTTTTTGGTTTTTAGCTTTTAATTTTTAGTTTTTAGATTTTGGTTTTTAGTTTTTGGTTTTTGATTCTGTAGTAGATTTTAGTTTTTGGAAAAACACGAATGGTAATTTTTGTTTCTAGCTTTTGGTTTTTGTTTTCAAAATTAATAAAATATTTTTTTATTTTATTTTCTGTAGTTTTTCTGTAATTTAAGTTTCTAGATTGAATGAAGATTTGTTAGTTTTAGATTTTAATATATTTTATTAAAAATATTTTTAAAGTTGAAATAAAATATTAGTTACTATGAAAAAAAATATTTTCTTTGTTTCATAAAAAATCAATTAAATTTTTTCACACATATTAAAAAATATGTTAAAAACTAATCTCACCCTATGTTCACATATTAAATATTTTTCTATAATTAAGAAATTAATGAAATGATGTTTTAAATGAATATTTATTTGAATTCTGCTTTGAGAACACAAAATGACAATTTTTTTTTTGTAAAAAACTACAACTCTGAAATGATATTTTTTAAAAAAATGTATAGAATATTACAACTTAAAAATATTTATTTATTTAGTAAGTTTTTTTTATAAGTGAAAGTAATGTAGAATCAAAAGATGAACCACAAATTATATTATATGATATAATACATAATATTTTTAATAATAAAATTTTATTTTTATTATTTATTCATAAAAATTAAATTGTATAAACTATATTTACATATATACTATACTAGACAAATAGTCAACAAAATAATACACTTATATACTAATATTGTCACGTGTAGTAGCCTTGTTTTTTTGTTAATAATAGCTTTGTTATTGATTATTGAGTATTATCTCATGTTTATATAACAATTTTAATAATAAAATACATAAATAATAAATCATCGACTAAAGAAACTAGAAAAACTTAGTTTTTGGTTTTTGCTTGAAAATAGGTAGTTATTCCAAAAACTAGTGGTTTTGTGTGTATAGAGAGTGCAAATACTCAAACTAGTTTCCCTAGATTTTAGGAAAACCAATTCTTAAAAAACTTGATTGGATGAAAATTGGTTTTTAGAAAAACAAAAGCTAAAAACTACTTTAAAAACTGGAAACAATCAACACTTGCAGATCACCACTTCCTCCCCACGGCTAGCTACATCTTTGATTGGTAACAAACGGCTTCTGCTTCGAGAAGTGAAGTCAATTCTGAAGAAGCAGACAACAACATCCTTTCAGGTTTTAATTTGTCCTCGAAAAATCATTTGTATCGAAGTTTCTCCCCGTGTTGATTTGAAATTCTCGTGTTTGCTAGCAACAATCAATATCTCTTCTTTCAAAAGACCCATCACTCGTGATACGTTTATGGATAGGCCCTGAGTGTTTTTTTGGTCGTATATGTGATAAAAATCACATGGAGTTATACACGCCCCTGAGTTGTTCGATGAAATGCCTGAAAGAAAATAAAACTATAATATAGTCACGTAATTGGATTGACTAAGATGAACCTGGTGTTTGCATTGACTTAAGAGTTTTGACTTCTTGAGTATCATGATCATCATCATCCCTTCCCTTGAGAGCTTGATAAATTTATTGGTCTGCTTCTCAGATGGGAGATTCTTCATTTCTCGATAGAATGCTTCTCCAGCTTCGCTCCACTTGCAAGTAATAAGTTTTTAATTTGTTTCATTTAAAGTCCGCAACTTTCTATACCATAAGCACAGCTGAATATGAAAGTGTGTTTCTTTTTTCTTGTTTTGTTGAAATGAAGGTACTACAGTGGTTACCCTAAGGATCTGGGGCCATCGAAAGTTATCCATTTTACATCAGAAAGAGAGTTTGTCCAGCTCCTTCACCAGGGCTACCCTGTGGTCGTCGCATTCACCATAAGGTTAGTTAGATTCCCCCTCAAATTACGTTTCTTTTGTTATATTCCTACTCACATTTCTGTCTCCTATATATATAACAGAAGTAACTACACACAACATCTAGACCAGATGCTTGAGGAAGCTGCTGCCGAGTTCTATCCCAACATCAAGTTTATGCGGGTGAGTTCTCAGACCATAGCAAAAAGAATACAAAAGGAAAACTTTGTCAACCAGTAAGTTGACTGTTGTGTGTTTTGGATTTTGTTTCAGGTTGAGTGCCCCAAGTATCCTGGATTCTGCATAACTCGCCAGAAAAGCGAATATCCCTTCATTGAAATATTCCATAGCCCACAACAAGTATGTTTCTTGTTTTGCTTGTATTCAAACATGTCATCCTCCTCCTTTGGTTTATCTCCTAAAAATGAAAACCCTTTTGACTTAGGCTGGTAATGAAGGAAAGGTCCAGGATCCAAATGTCACCCGCTATTCTGTGAAAGTCGTACCTGTAAGTTGAAGCCATCACTCTATTTAAACTTTTTGTGAGTATAACTCTTTGTTGTTGCTTGAAACGATGCGAAGAAATCTATCTATTGCACAGTCTAAAACTTTGTTCTTGTTTGTTTCTTTGGGGCAGTACAATTATGATATGAGCCCATATGGGTTCAGAGAGTTCTTCAAGCGCCAGGGAGTTCGTACTTCCGATCCTAAATGAAGCAATCTTGAAGAAGTATGGTACGAAATATTGCAAAAGCTTTTGCTTGTATCAATGGCTTCTATGAGCTACCATTGACTCCTTTTTTTTTAAGAACTATTGTAATAAAAGAAAATTATTTCTCAAGTATGAGAATTTTCCAAGTTTTGTGATTTGCAATGAATCACAGTAAGTAAAATCAAAATGGGTAAAGAAAGGCATCCTTTTGACTTCATACATTGTTGATATATGCGTTATATTTTGTTTTAGATACTTGATATTCTTATATATATACATCTTGTGTTTTTAACACTAACTTAGTACTCTTGTAAATCTGGAACGCTTCCAACAATACTATTATCCTTTTGTCCGGAGACGGAACTAATTTGATTAAAAGCATCTCCAATGGAGTTCTTACGACGAGATTTTTAGCGAAATATAAGAACCCGTCTCTTAACTTTTAACTAAAAAATCTAAGAACCGATTCTTCAATGTCACCATGTCATCGTTTGTTCATCTATTTCTGCATTTGTTTTCTCTTACATTCGTCACAATAAATACATATAAGAACTTTATTTTACCAAGATGAATTTCTGGTGTTCCAACCTTTTATTTATTGTATGCTGGTATAGTTCCATTTATTTGGAGATTTTAAGTTTCTCATAAATATTTGTTTTGCAACCATGGTTGCTTACACCTTGTGTACTTAGAGCAGGATTAATGGGAGAAGAGGAAGAATGCTTAAGAGAGATTTTAGAGGAGGGGACCCACAGAAAACAAAAAATCTGGTGGTGCCAAATGAAGTGCCTCTTTTCGTGTGATGCTTGCACTGTGCGTGGATCCCATCAACACGTGGTGGTTCGCGATTCGTTCTCTTTTTTTTTTTTTTAAATAGGACGAAAATTTTAAAAAATAAGCACCCCACTAAAGGTGTTGCGTTGATCATGCTCTTAGGTTTGGTTTCCAACATTCCAATGGATGTTTTTCTTTTTCTTTTTTGCTAGTACAAAGTTCAGGTTAATTCCTTGTTAAGCCTTTTAGATATAAAATAACCAACATGAAACAAGCGATCTGGCTTCTACTAAAGGTTTTCTAGTCATTTGCCTCGTTGGCAGAGATCGTCGACGTTCCAATCCTTGACCTCAGGGGTCATGACTCATATTGTACACGTCAACAATTAAATGCTTTTGATTACTACATTGGGAGACACCGTATTGAATTTGATGTCAGAGTGAAAATAAATGATTGTAGTTGGGGAAGGGGTGATGTTCTTACTTCTTAGCTTCGAACTTCGTTAGAATCAGTGATGCAAAATGTCAGTCGTGTCATCGTCTCTTTCTCTTATATTATCTCTTTGTTTCCATACCCATATGTGTCATTCATAGGACAATCCATTTTCATTCTGTTTCAAAATATTGTAATGTTTAAAAGTTTTCGCACATTAAATTTTGATGCGTTATTTTTGTGATTCACTATTTCTCATATATTTGGCTAAATACAGTCTAATAAATACAACTAGTATATTCAAAGTTTACAATGTACTTCTAGTACGTGATAAAGGCATTGAACATGTGAAAAAAAATCTATTCCTTAGAAATATTTTTTTGGATCATTATGAAACGGACGAGGTATTTAAAAAAATGGCAAACTTAACAACTATACTATAATACTATTCTACAGCTATTCTACAGTATAATGTTAATCTTTAACCTGCAGAAAGTAATTTAAGAAGAAATTGCATGGTCCAAAAAATGCATGCATGTTTCTTTGCGGGCCATTCCCCTAACAGTCTAGTACTCAGCATAAATCTACTCAGCCATGGTGGGTTCGGTTTATAATATTAATTGATACTAAGAAAAATGGCAAACATTGGATCTGCCAAGTAACAACTGCTGCTACTTCCCCATACCACAAATGAATGTTCCATTGACGTAAACTGTTTTTCTTTTCTTCATTTTCATCGTTTTTTTGGACTAATTCTTCATTTCCATTGTTTTTGGATTTTTGGACAACAAAAGAATAAAGGTTATAGTCAGTTAAAACCTTATTCAAATAAACCAATAAGATATGATTATCATCTAATGCATCTTTTTAACTTGTCTATATATATCCCTTGCGATAGTTAGCTTAAAGCATTAAGCAATTCTTTCTTTTCTTTGGGTTCAATGTGACGAAAACTTGAATTTCAGATTCATTAAGAGAATAAGAGACCTTGAGTCAAAGTCAGTCATGTAATGTAGTCATCTCCACACCACTTCTATCAATTTTTTTTCTATGTAAATTTATTAGTCATTGTAAAAAAGAGTCTCTGGTAAAAACTCCCTCTCATTTATAATGATGGATTTTATACCTCTTTTGCTGTTATTATAAAGCTAAGTTTTTAGGTTTTTAATGCATATTTTGTTAACTAACAGTAACAAATTACAGACATTAAGAAACATTTTTCTGACAATAACTATATATTTTGGGTTACTATTAGTTTAGAATCATATGAAATTGTTTAAACATTAGCTATTTTCTTCATATGTGTGTAAACTATTAAAAATATCTGTGAAAGAGAGAATGCATATTATAAAATAATTTTCTATGATTATAAACTTCAAATATCATAAATATGATTAATTTCCTCCTTGGTAGGTAAAAAGGTTATGTGATTCTCTGTCTCATGCTAAATAATGGTTCACACAAATATCTTCGATTATAATTAAAACAATTCTTGTTCGTGCATATATAAATATACACATACATTGAGCAGTATATTTTCTGAATTACTATTTGCTTAGAGTCATAGGAAATTGTTTAGTTATAAAACTGTATATTTATGGTTGAACATATTTTTTTCTTTAATCTGTCTGAACATTTTTACAAGATTATCTTTGTGAAAAAGAGAGAATATATATGATAATTTAATCTTTCATAAATTCCAAAAACTCATAACTATGTTATTTCATTTTTGGTGAGAAATAAGGCTATGCAATTGTTAATTTGTGATGCTACTATCTAAATTAAATTGAAATATGATAAATAATGGTTCACAAAATATCATCATTTATAATTAAACAACTAAATGTGTGTATATATATATACACACATTGAGCAAGAGCCCATATACGTTTTCCTTGTCTTTTTATCTTCCATTTTAATAGTTTGCCTTGTAAGGCGATTCTCTTCGGAAATGTTGATCTATTAATAGCATCCACCACCTAATTTTTATACACCTTTTTGTTCCTGTTGTGTTTGTGTTTGATCATTAGGGTTCTCGATTCTCTCTCTGATATTTTGTTCATAGAAGTTTAAAATCAACATCGCCAAAACAATTGGTTATAATCAGTCTTTCTTTATCATATGGTATGTGTTTAACTTCGTCAGATGATTATTCACTATACAATATAGTTATGTTTCATTGAGTTGTTCTGTATACATAAGGCGGAAGAAGAAGGAATGAGAAAGCAGGTTGTGTTGGCTAAGCCTTTCTCGTTGGAAGATGAGAAAGACTCTGAACATACAACTTCCAATCTCATCCAACGCATCCTAAGTCTCTTTAAAAACGTACGGCCAGGATCCGATCTCACTAACTTTCAGGTATGATGTAACTCATTTTTCTCTCTATCTACGTTTGTCAGTTTGTCACTTTTGGGTCTAATAATCTCTATCTTCTACGGATCCTAATTACCAACAAAAGAAAATCTATTTTGTGGTAGATAATATAGTTTGCTGTAAAAAGAAATATATATTTTGTGGTAAATAATGATTTTACCAATATCTTAATATATACGTAATGGTCTGGCTAGGTGAACAGATATTTACTTCCTTTTAATTGTAAATTAATATTTTTTGTCACTTATTGTAAATTAACTTAATAATTTTTATTTACTGTGGAAAGCTTCCACCTCAACTGAACCTACCGAGATCGCAACTACAGTGCTATGGCGAGATGGTGTACAGTTTCAACGGTCAAGATTTACTAGGAGAGTGTGGTCACCGTGACCAACCAATCGAACGGCTCAAATCAATCGTAACGTGGAACATCTCAACTCTCCGGCCATTGATCTTTGGCATGGCCCCGTATAATCCTATCGTCGGCGAAACTCACCATGTGTCCAACGGTCACGTCAACGTTCTCGTAGAGCAAGCAAGTGTATTTTTCTTCTATATTATTTAAATTAATAGCAAGTGTTAATATTTCAATGCAAAAGTATAATCATTATTTTTTTGTTGTTGTTGTTGCAGATATCGCATCATCCACCAGTGTCTGCTCTTCATGCAACTCACGAGAAAGAAAACATAGACGTAACGTTCTGTCAGTACTTCACACCTAAATTTCGTGGTACGTTTTACGTTCCAAAATCACATCCTACTATAAAAATCGAATAAAATGCAAAGTGGGTCTATTTTGAAAAAATAAAATAAAATTAAATAAAAATGAAGGTGCGTACGTGGACGTCGAGGTTAAGGGTAGAAGAGTGGTGAAACTTCAAAATCAAAAAGAGACTTACGAAATGAACCAACCAAGACTAGTGATGACGTTTCTTCCGGTTACAGGAGCTCACTGGGCCGGAAAGATCGTGATCAAGTGCCTGGAGACTGGCCTCGAGGCCGAACTGCAGCTACTCTCTGATACATTCTTGAGTAGATTCACAGGAAACAACAAGAGATCCATTAAAGGCAAGATCTTTGAATCTTCCTCTGGGAAACGACTTTATGAACTATTTGGACATTGGGACAAGTAAGAAAAACAAAACTCCATCTTTCAAATCTTATTGCAGTAACAAAACATTGACATAGGGCAAGATCATGTTTTCAGAACCGTCACTGTGAAAAATCTAAAGACTGGAGAGCTTGAGGTTATATACAACGCCAGTGAAAACATTGCAACGCTCAAAACACCCATTGTCAAGAACCTGCAGGAGGTGAGTGAGACCGAGTCGGCGATGGTGTGGAGTGAGGTTAGCGAAGGAATTATAAAGCAAGAGTGGGAGAAAGCGAGAGAAGGCAAGAGAGATGTGGAGGAGAAGCAGAGAGAGACTCGGAGGCAACGAGAGGCTTGTGGACAATCATGGATTCCAAAGCATTTTTCTGTGGTTCGAGCTGGTAAAGACTGGGACTGTGTTCCACTACAGCCTAGAGTTCCTCAAGCTCCTATAGTTGTACCTCTCTGATGCGTATATATATAGTTCTCTCTAGAGGTCCTACAATAAGCAAATAACTCATGATAAGTACAAACAAGAGATTCTCAAACTGCGAAACACACAAGCCTACAGATTTTTAACTTACCAGATTCACTCAGATGAGTACGCTTTGGCTTTTGGTGATTTTAGCATTCAAGTAAACATACTGAACTATTCAGGCATACACGAAAGCACAGACATAACAAACTCATTAGCCTGCTTCACTTTCCCACTAGAGCAGAGTGAGCTAACGGTTGAGTGAAGGCTGTGAAAATCTTTAACATAGCCTTCTTTCTCCACCTCCTTTTCACTAACACCATTCAATAACTGCAACCTTTGATAAGAACCCGGTTTTTTACCAGACGGATAGAACGTCGAACTTATCTCATCTAGGATTTTAACAGCTTGAGGGACCCTTCCTTGCTCACACAGCTCGACGAGAAAGACTCTGATTGATTCAGATTCAGCTAGTTCTGCATCAACTCTGTTAATCAGCTCAACAACAGGTTCTGAAACAAGCATTTCTCTCAGGACGCTCCTCGCTTCTTCCATTCGCCCTTTCGTGCTTAAGCCTTTGATCAGATACAGAAACCCCAAGAAATCGGCTGAGATGTTTTTACCTTTAAACTCAGCAAACACTCTGAGAGCTTCTTCCATGTCACCTTTTTTACTGTAACCTTTGATCAAAGAACTGACTGTGAACGCATCTGGTGTTACCCTTCCCATCATTTTACGAGATAAAACGTTCATGGCCTCCTCCGTTCGCCCGAGCTTGCAATACCCGTCAATCATCGAATTGTAAATGAGAATGTTTGGTACAAGTCCCTTAGATACCATCGTGTCCAAAAATTGCTCAGCGTCAAGAAACAACCCTTCTTTGCATAAGCTGTCAATCAAAATTCCATAACTGACATGAGAGGGGACTAAACCAATTTTCTCCAGCGAATCAAATAGACGAAGAGCTTCTACAAGACAACCTTGCTGGCAAAGTCCATTTATGAGTGAATTGTATGTGATGATATTAAGAATGATGCCCCTTTGTTTAGCAAAAGTGCACAAATCTAATGCCTTTGTCAGAAACCCTTCCTTGCAGAGACCATTGACGATGATTGTGTAATCTATAACATCCATGGAGAGCAGAGTATTTTCAACAGCATTTACGATAAGCGAATAAGCATCCACTGCTCTGAGATTGTCCACCAGTGCTTTCAAAAATGTGGAAAGACATGTAACAGTTAAACCCTTTCTACTCATAACCATATAAACTTCAATCGCAGCGTCGAAAGAACCGCTCTTACATAAAAGCAATACAGCATCATTGAACATGGCAACATTGGCAAGACAGATGTCTGAACTCAACTGCTCGAGTCTATAAACCAAACCGAGTATTCCTTTCTCACCTCCGCTAGCATGAATTGAATGTAACAAGGTGTGAGACGTATGGATGTCTAGATACAGACCTTTATCACACATCTCCATAAGAACTTCAGTGGCTGTTTCAAACATCCCTTTTTTGCACAATGCACCAATGATGCGATTATAACACACAGCAGAGGAAACCGAGCTTTTCCTCAACTCATCAAATATCTCAAGTGCCTCATCGATCTGACCCGCTTTGCAGCAGCAATCAATCATCGTCGAATACGTGACTGCGTCAGGAGTCAGCTCCATTTCCGGCATAGCCCTGTAAAGCACGTGAGCTTCTCCATAATCACCAACCAATAAAAATGCTTTTAATAGAATATTGCACATAACCAAGTCCATAGGGATCTTAGCTTCAACAAACCTACGCCTAACCTCCAAAACACCATCAACATTCTCGTCCTTGATATAACTATCTAACAACGTAGTAAAAGTAACAACATCTCCCAAAACCCCTCTCGAAATCTCATCCGCCTCGGATACTCTCCCCGCCTTACACAATCCATTAATCACAGTGTTGTAAGTAAGAACACTCGGTTTAACCCCTCTCTGCTCCATATCTCCCAACAAAGCAAAAGCTCGATTCAAATCTCCTCTCCTACAAACTCCATCGATCAAAGTCACATAAACAAACTCATCCACTTCAATTCCCATACTCAAAACCCTATCAAACAACTCAAACGCCTCATCAACTCCACCCTTTCTGCACAGTCCTCTCATAATAGAAGTAAAAGTGATCAAACTCGGTTCTATCCCTTCTTTAATCATCTTCCCTAACAACCCAAACGCCATTCCAAACCTTCCTTCCTTTGAAAACACATCTATTAGTATAGAATAGCTCAATAAATCTCTATTTATCCCCTTCTCCACCATCTCCCTATCTTGCATCACTGCTTCCATCAATCTAATTACACTTTTATGAATCAAGTTACTATAGAAAACACAATCAAACTCTTCTTCCTCAAGTCTCTTAACTAAATCCTTGACTTGATCAATTTTACCTAACTGACAAAGAGCGGTTACAACCGTTGTGTAAGTCACGATACTCGGCGATAAAGCTCCTGAATCAACCGCAGTCTCGAAAAACCCTAACGCGAGATCCGGTTTACCGATTTTACAAAAACCGGACACCACAGCGCTAGAGACGAAGTTCGATTTCTCCTTACACGTCAGCATCTTCAAAACCTCGGTGGCTTTCTCCATCTCTCCTCTCGCGACGAAGCCGTGGATCAGCGAGGAGAACGTCGCGGGGGAAGGGAACGCCGCCTTGTTGGGATCGTCTAAGGATCCGAGGGAGGAGTTTGAGATCTGGGCGGTGGTGATGAAAGTCTTGGCGTCGTCGAAACGGTTGAGATTGAGGAGTGAGGAGGAGACGATTGAGTGGATTGAGTGGTTGATTGGGAGTTTGTTGGAGGTTAGTTGAGAGTAGAGGTGGAGGATGGTGGTGAATTTGTGGCGGCGGTGGAGGAAGCGGAGGAAGGTGGTGATGGAGGTTAGGGTTGGAGAGAAGCCGCTTTTCAGGAGGGATTGGAGTGACAAGACACTTGAAGAGGAGCGACGTGGATGGAGGAGCTTCATGGGAGTGAGCGATGATGGATTCGAAGAACCATGGCAAAGATCACAGAAGTGGCGGCCGCAACGTGACGAAGCAACTTAACCGGTCTCGTTTTGATTAAACCGGTTCTTTTGGATTACTTGGTTCAACCATCAAATGTTTTTGTAACCACTAACCCATAAAATAAACCAGAATAGATGGGCAGTGAGTCCTAACTAAGCTTAATGTGAAAAAAGTTTAATATGGTATCAGAGTCCTAAGTTTAATGAGAAAGAGTCTACTATGGTATCAGAATCCTAACTAACTTTCTTTGCTCTCATTTTCCGGGAAAATTAGTCTATCTTCGTTCATTTTTCACTTTGTTTTCAGCTCAGATTCGTGCTCTTCCATCACAACCATATTTAAACACGTTCACGTTTGTGAGTGAATAAAGTAAGCAAAGCTCTTGTTTGTATATGCACAAACATTACTAATCACCAATTTATTTTCTAATTAACAATGTCAATTATTATCAATATATATATATATATATATATGCACGGCTTTTAACTAAAACAAGAGCAAAAATTTTATATGGTGCAGAACCTATAATAAAAGTTGTCAACTCCTTGTGCTAAAACTACTAACATCTCAAATTACAACATCATAAACCGATTCACTCTAACCAAAACATGGCTACAATCACAATAACCAAAATTCTCTGCTTCTAACTTCTTTCTTATACTACTACTACAGCTTAAAAAGCAGAGTAAACTTGTCCCATTAAATAGACAGTAACCCTTCACAAGTAATCTGTGAATCAATCCAATCCAGTCTCAAGACAATCTAGAAGTGTTTTGTACCGGTTTCAAGAATTTGTGTCTGCCTCTATATCTCTCTCTCTCTCTCTCTCTCAGACCACTGTGCTCGTGTAGTTTGGAAAGAGTCTGACCAGTTTCTTAACAGAATCTGAGTGGAACTTCCTTGCGAATAAGTAACAAGGACGTCTAATTCCGTTCCATGTACAAGGCCAATGCAGCTCATCTCCACGCTACGCAAAAAGAAAACAAAAAACAATAGAAGATATAATGAAGAAAGAAAAACGTTTCACAGTTTTATCGAGCAATTTACCTTGCCAATGCTTGTTACGTGTACGCTCATGTCGTCGGACTGCAAGAAACCACCAATGAGGGAAAGTATATATATCAGATTTAAAAAGATGTGTGATAGTAACAGTATAAGATGTTTACTTGATGCATTGAAAAGAGTGTTGTTGTGAGTGACATTACCGTGATATTTTTCAAGAAGTTGAGTGAGACATCGCGGGCTCTGTATGTCTTTGGATGCCATTTACGCTCAGACCAATCAACATACGTGACTGACCAGTTCGATATTCCTCCTGGATCAAGCATCTTTTTAAGAAGAATAAAAAAAAAGTAAGATTTCACCAAGGGACTAGAATCAAAGTAGTATAAGAAAGTTGCATTAATTTGACACACTCACATGGAAGAATGTAGGCAGGTAATGTTCATCCGCAATGCAGTTCTTATTTGCTTCTACCCCAGGCTGAAAATTTTAGTCAGATTTTTTTTTCCAAATCAGGGGACCAGAGTAAGTTAAGACAAAAACTGAAACATTTCACGAGTTTTCAATCTGAGATCATATCTAATTACAGAGTTTAGTCATAAACATAGGCCATAAAGGCTACATTATAAAAATGAGAACTATGATACAAAAGGAAAGAAAGCGAAACTCACTCTGCAATATTGGCGGAATTTTGAGTAGTAGAGATTATCAGCCATCACTATCAAAGCGTGTTGACGCTTCATTGTGAACCACTGCACCACAGGAGAAAAGTTAGGAGTTATACAACATCTTTCTCGTGAGAGCCAAAATGAATCAGAAAGATTGTATTATCAACATTTCATAACCAAACAGAACATTCCACAACTCAGGGATTAAGTTTTTTACCTGAGCACCCTTTCTGAAATCTTGCCTAGGGATTTCAGGTAACATGTGATCCATGTGTCTACCGGTCCCATGAGGACCAGGATCCTCAAAACTTGAGAGTGAGAGAAGCAAGTATTAATTAGTGAATAATATAAATGGAGAGAAATGAAATCTAGTGGCATAAAGATAGTAAAGGTTACTTGTCAATGAAGCTGACATTTCCGTGGATCAAATATCTATAGGTGTAGTCAAAAGTATGCAACGGTATGCAGCTGCAAAAAAAAAAACTAAGAGCCTATAAAGAGAAAGTAGCTGCAAAATAGAGTTATGTTTATGGTGCAAATTCGAATCAATCACCTCTCTGAGAGAAGAACAAAGTGTTGGTTATCAGGATCTTCAAGAGCGTTTGCTAGAAGCCTTCTCTCAGCATCAACCATAGAGATCCTTCCCCAAGTGACATGATCACTATGAATCTCACGGTCTGAAAAATGACGGCTGATGTGGACTGGTCTTAGCCTTGATGGATGGATATAAATTGAGAATCTCCCTTCTTGACCCTTTTTTCACAAATAAGGAAACAAACATTCAACACCACACCACACCTCCATACAAGAAGAAAATCAAAGAATGTTTCATTTTTGTGAACCTGGAAAAACTGATCCCAGAGCTTCTCAAACGGCAAAGTACCAGGAGACAAGAACATGAAAGCTATCTTCGACTTAGAGGTCAGAGCAGGAGGCATTCTGAGAACGTCTCTGATCACAACTCGAGCTGCGACTTCTTCGTCTGTGTGTTTCCTGACGTGAACATCAAGCCACCCCGAGAGCGCAGCTCTGCAGCCACTGCTAGACAAACCCTCACAAGCAGGGCTCTTAACGTTGTGTTGTGGGTACATGTAAGTGCAGACCAAGAGAACGCTTGTGATGCAGATCAATAGAACAATCAATAAGGGCTTCTTTAGAGAAGAACGGTTTCTCAGAGGCAAGTGAAGGTTCTGTGTCTCCCCCATTGAAAAGCTCGAAATTAATGTTTGAATCTTCTGTTTTTTTTTTTACATAGAGCAGAACCTGAAGTAGTAAATTTCAATCGAAGAGCCAGACATAAGGAATAATTTAGAAACAATTTTGTATTGAAAGCATGAAACTCTTTTATGATAATTTTAACACAATCTATAACGCAACTCTCTTCAGAAACAAGCAACTAGAACATTCAAAAAGGACCACACGTCTGGTGCAACAGTTACACGGATTTTCAGACAAGAAAACCAAACTGCACGTTGTTATTGTGAATTCAAAAAAAAAGAAGAAGATTCTCACCCGGCACGTACGACACGAAACTAAGGAAGTCTCCTGATTTTTTAGCAGCTCTAAGCAGATGCCAAATCTAAAGCTATACCATATACATACACAAAGTAGAATTAGTTTGCAAACTATTAGTTTCGATTTAAAACAGAAAGAATAAAGTCAGAAGCATTTAACAGAGAAGAGAATATTACAGTACCTGTAATAATTCGAACAAGATCCGATAATGGGGGAAATGTAAGATGGGTAGATATAAAAATAGAATCTTTGTCGGAACCCAGATCTTAAAAATGAAAGCTTGATGATGATCTACCTTAAAGATACCGAAAGTTTAAGAACGACAACCAAAGAACTTTAAAAGAAAAATAAATCAGGCCAAGTGTTTGGATGAGATATGATACTAGAAGAAGAAAAAAACTCTTTAATTATCTTGTTGAATAAACACTACTTTTCTGCTCAATTTCTTTCCCCAATAATGGTGGAATCAGAAGACACTAGAGATTAAAAAAAAAAAAAAGCAAATCAATCAACTACAAGAAATTTACTATCTAGGCTTTTACTAATTTAGGCCCAATAAGTTTTACCTCCAAACAGAAAACTAAGACCATGTCCAACACTGGTCCTTAATGGATCCTTAGCGGGAGAACCTATATAATTGGGCTTAGAATATTATTAAAGCCCAAGAGTTTTCGAAGGATTAATCCTTATGAAGGATTAAGGATTACAAGGATCAAATCCTTACTGGTGTGGCAGGTGCTCCGGTAGGTATACCATTTTTTTTTTAAAAAAAAAAAAAATTCATTTGCGACTCAAGTCAAAAAAAAAAAATCTCTAGCGAATGTAGAAGCGATTTCGAAGACACAGCATCACGGTAAATCCATCCTTTCCTTTGTTGATTTATGGATGTAATTGACCAGGGTTTCAATTTGGGGGTCTTGCATGATGTTTTCCTCGCGATTAGGGTTCGATTTTGTTGTTTTGGAATCGATTTGGGGATGATTTCGATTGAGGGTTTTCAATCGATTAAGGTTTCTCAAATCCCTCTTTGATACCGACATGGCTTGGTCGTTTTCCTCCTTGTTACCCTTCACGTTCCTCGTTTTCAATTTTGGTAAGTGTTCATTTGATTACTTTGTCTCTGTCAAAAATTGTAAGAGAAGGAAGAAGAGAAGACACAACTTCGTTGATACATGATACTCGTTGTCGTCTTCATACAACTTATTTACAAAGGTTCTTTCGTTTTTCTTTCCTCTTTTTAGAAGCTTTACTGTTTGATACAATCTCTCTCTTCCCGTTGTTGTCTCAAAGCTTGTATTTTTTTTATTCGCAGCTTCTAGGTAGAGTCTTTAGCATTCTCCGTGAAAAATAAAATCATGAGCTTGCTGGAGATAGGCCTCGCAGAGTTATGAACAGGTTTACTTCTCATTCATGAAAACAAATGAAAGGCCATTTACATTTTAGAGTGCTTCTTGAGAGTCCTATAAACTTCAATCATGAGTTGAATTTAAGGTTTTTGGTTTGCAGGGATGGGTGACTTTGCAGTTGATACGTGATCCAACCAACTCTAGAGGCTTCTTGTCTGCGAGGTCTGTCACGGGTTTTCTTTCAGATGTATACGGTCCAGCTGCAGATGAAGTTGGAAAAATCTTCTTGATTGCAGATGAAAAGGTTAGTATCATTGCAATCATCATTATATCAGCAGTTTTTTTTTCAAAACTATAGTCTTACTAGAAATATATGTTTCTGCTAATATATATCAGATGCAAGGAGCTGTTTTTGATCTACCAGAGGACATCGCCAAAGAGCTACTAGAGAAAGAAATGCCAGAAGGAAACAGTGTATCCATGATTACAAATGTATTTTATACAACATAACATATTCACAATAAGACTCTTTTTACTAACAACTCTTATGGGTTTTGATTGTTAGTTGCTTGCATTGCAAGACGATGGACCGTCTAGTGATAACTATGGACGGTTATCTAGCAGAGACAGGATGCCTAGAGGAGGAGGATGGGGCTCTAGAGGGTCAAGATTTGGAGGCAGAGGTGGCTCTTCCCGAGGACGTGATAGTTGGGGAGGTGATGATAACAGAAGAGGTAGAAGCAGTTGTGGTGGAGGAAGTAGCTGGTCACGTGGTGGTGGTTGTGGTATCAAAGGAAGTTCTGATGATTGGTTGATTGGTAGTGACAGAAGATCATCATCAAGCAGCAGAGCTCCTTGCCGGGAGAGGTGAGTTTTTTTCTGTTTGAGCTTTAAATGAATATATGGTAAAACCTGCGACTTGTCCTAATTAACTGATTGATTGATGTTATGTTAGTTAGGAGTTTTGGAGGGGCTTGCTTCACTTGTGGAAGTTCAGGACACATGGCAGCAGATTGTCTTGACAAAAGAGGGTTTTAAAGTGTTCTTAATTAGTGGTTTCTGCTCTTTTAAGAGAGAGACCCCTTGTCTTTTTGGTGTTCTGGATACATATCCTATAAATTCTTTTAGACATACCATTGTTCTCCAGTGGTTTTGACAGTTTTGTTCGTAGGGATGAACAAGGGACATGTTGTCACCAGACGCGAGTTGGTTCCTCGTCCTCATTCTCGGATAGGAGTACGTTTCTCTCTAAGCTTGACATTCTTTAAACTTTCATGTGTTTTATTATGTGTGTTTTGGATTTGAAGAGGATTTTGTCAATGATTGGTGATTATTAATTTTTTCTTTCTAAGAATTTTGTAATGGATAACACCATTGGAGGTGTACTTGTGATTAGAGTCCTTCACTATTTAGAAATTTTTAAAAAAAAAAAAAAAATATTAACCTAATGTTAAGGACTCCAATGGTGGGTAACACCATTGGAGGTGCGCTAACTAAACCAAAAAATCTTGAGAAAACACACCGAGTTGTTTCAACCGTTCCGACCACAAACATCAAGCGGGAATTTTGCAAATACCAAGTTCGTTTATTTTTTTTTGACCCTGAAACCTATAAGATTTGTTGTCTTGTTCTCACGTTTACTCGGAAACACAGTCTTACATGTAAGAAAAACTAGGGTCCGATTGTTGTTTTAGCTGTAGAGACTTTGGAGACTTTAAATTATACTTTAAACTTTCTAAAGTTCTAAAAGCCTTCCTAAAATATCTCACAGCCAAAATAACTAACTTTACTCTTTAACGTGACTTATATTTTCAAAGCCACAATTTCAGGCTTTTAAGTATTTCTAAAGTCAATTTTAATTTTTAAATTTAAAAGTTTTACAGCCAAACTAAAATTAAAAGTCCTAACAGTAATACTCTTGAAAGTCAGACATAATCGGACCCTAGGTCTCTTTATAATTTGTGCAGATAAAAATATTATAAACTTAGTAGATGAGAGGTATTTCATATTTACCCCTAAGATACTTGCTCTAACCTAATGTTCAAAACATACTTTTCTCTTTCTGAACCATCTTGTGGACTTAGATGCTTCAAATGCGGTGGTAATTTCTGTGTCGACTTCAAAGTTCCGTGGCATAAGCTCTCACGTGCAATAACAACAATAAATTGTGTCCATACAATTTTGAAGATGGTGTCAAAGTCATGTGTGCCAACACATGGAACATGGTTGAACCCTTCTTGGATGCAGCCTCATTACTTGCATGTTCTCTCTATAGAACAAGTAGTATTATGTATGGTTTAGAGGGTCTTGTAGTGTGGTTGGTAGAGGATCTTGTTTCGTTCTTTTTTTTGTTCTCACCGTATATACGGTATGTTGATCTGAAGGCCCGAAAGTGAGAATCTAGGCCCATTTCATATTGGGACATGACAATGAATGTTTGTTTAATGTTGGTCCGTTTGACCAACTTCATCTTTTATCCCACCTTCCAAAAAAAACAACGTAATGGATGCAATCACCTCTCGACGGATTTTTCAACTTGATATAATGTACAAACTATACATATGATGACTACGTTACATTTTATTATTTATTTTGTAAACTGACATGAACAACATATAGAGCAACTATCTTATTGTCTTCTTTCCAAGACACCTCAAATCATATTCAACAAAAATCTATGTACAGAAACGAAACACATACTATGTGACAACTTCATTCTAGATTAAAAGTTGCCACCTTCAGTTCTACAACAGAATGTTCCTGTCACTCTAGATTAAAAGTTGTCACTCTAGTCAGGAAAACTTTAACTATATGCATTAAATGTTGATAAAATAATGTATGTAAATCAGTGCGTCACGTGAGTCAAGGATCTACATCTGGGAGCAAAATACTAAATTTGAGCGTCATAAAAGTTATCGACACAGATCCAGTTAAGGGTAGTGCTAATCATATACGTTGGAAGATACTAGCGATGTGGATTTGTTCATATTATGACAAAATCAATCTTGCAAACCCTTGCATGACAAATTGGCTAAGTTCAAATTTACAGGAGAAACATACTATATTATAGATCAAAGATCCTTTTAAAACTTGGCTCAATCTCCTCATCTCATTTGCTTAGAGGGGACTCTTTAGCTGGTGTTTCATCTTTCCAAGTTCATAATCTCTGATAGTGACTTCATATTCATGTTCATGAGTATTTTCTGTGCTTGCTTTTATTGTTTTTTTTAGAAGATGACAATTCCTCTCATTATTACTCCACCAAATATACTAAAGAACTGATGTGTTTTAGAAAATGAAAAAAAAAACACCTAGTTCACTATTGATCTGAACCTAAGTAGGACCAGCTTTGTGAAAACGAGAAAAACTGAATTAAGCTGTTAAACCACATCAATAGCCTCATCTAGCTCACAAGACCATGATAACAGACTTGATAGTATTATTTTTAGTTTTTTTTTTTATTTATTTCTAAAGGCATTTTTTCTACTTTAAAATTACATCAACATGCACTTCATGCATAAAATACACTTTATTTGTGTGTTTAGACCAAAATACCCTAAATTAAACTAAATCAACTAAACTTGTATTCCACATGACTGGTTTATTCCCAACATTAACAAATAAATTACCTTTTCCAATTTCTGGAATTATAATTTTGCAGCCTCTTAACTAGTGAAGTTGGAAAGTTGCAGACTTTTTTCTTTCGATCTCTCTGCTATCTCTCTCCGACAGATCTACACCTTCTTAGCGACATTTATTGTGTAGCTGAAGTGGAGGCAAGATCTGTGTCAGAGAAACAAAAGGAGATATGTCGGAGAAGACTAGTTTCAAACTCGCCGACAACATGCTGAAGATCTGATTCACAATCGAACTCAGATTAGGCATTGATGTTCTCCTCATTCTTCTTTTTCATTCTTTGGATTCTCTGGGGCTGGGACCCGCACGTTAGAAACCAAGCTATGGTCTGGATCCTAAAGGTCTGATGTTTCTTGAATCTGGTTTGTTCTCTGTTTAGAGTTCAAAGTTATGGAGAAGAAGAAACCAATTTATGGAGAAACCAAGCTATGGTGAAGAAGAAGATGGAGTTTGCTAAACCTTTGTCTCGATTGAATTGTAATCTCCATCGTTTTTATTTAGTTCGATCTAATCAGTGGTATGTTTTTCACCGCTATTGTCTCTTAGACACCACCTTTATCATCTTTGTTCCCAAGATCATTAGTTGCCGACATGCAAGGTAAATTTATCAACATTTTTGATTAAAGTTATAATTTTTGTCTAAACGTAATGGCTCACATTTAAAAAAAAAACTATCTGATGATTGTGAAAGCTGTAATTGTTAGGATTCAGATTTTTTTTTTCTTTTTTTTTTTTTGCTTTAGACTGGTTTGTGCAATTTTAAAATATTAAGGTTCATTGGAAAAATCGTGGTCAATTGATTTGGTAATGTAGAACTTGTTTAGTGTTAGAGTTTTTTTGGTTTACGTTTGTCTTCGTAAGTTACGTTAGTTGTGGGGTATTAACATTTGTGGATGGCTGGAAACTTGGCCTCAAAGTCATAACATGTAAAGGTATTAGCATTGACTGACACTACTTAGGCCTACTATTATTTTTTTTGTGGATGTAGACATAACTTTATAGATAATTTTTTATGTATACAAAATCTTGCCACAACTTGTATCTTCTATCCATATACTATTGCAATTAAATCTCCTTACATTGTGTATTTGGTTTAAAACTGGCGTTGTTGGATTCTGTGATGCGTAAGAGTGATACTTGAATTGCTTTTTTATGGAAAGTTTCTATTTTTTGGGGCTAATTGCTTCATTGTAAGGAAGAAAGACATAACTTTTATGATTGAGTGTCATGGGCTTTCTAGTTGCAGGTTTGAGTGTCTTTTAGAGTAAAGCAGATAGACGAAGATATCATGCTAGGTTATGGTAACTATTTGAGCAGAGGAACCATTGGATTTTCACCTGATATCCCAAATTTTTCGCAAGTCTTAACATTGGAGCCTATTAGATTAGGCAACTATACTCGTTCAGGAGAGCTTAGGAGGGTTATCGACATCCCTAATAACGCTTCATTAGAAGAGACTTGTTTTGGAATGTCCCAACGAAAACCTTCTTCTCCTGTAGCAAGAGAGGAGCTCAAGCACTTTAAAGAAAGCGTGCAAGATAGTTCCAGAAAGGCTGAGTACGGATTTTGGTTTTCTTCGTAAATGTAGTTGTTTACACAGTATGGTTGAGGAGTTATTGCTTTATTATTATATATTATTTATTGAGCTTTACTAAAGCCTAAGGCTTTGCTAGCCTTGACAAGGTCAGAAACCAGGTTTCGAGATCGCTAGATAGTATGGTCAAAGACCCGAGGAAAGAAAAAAGATGCTTGGATTGAACTAGCGTGCTCGTACCTCAGTTGGAGATTTACGGGTTTATATCTCATTCTCACTTGTAAGATTAATATGATGCTTATAAATGTTTAAGAAATTGTTTATCTCCCTTTGCACCTTTTTCATTCTATTCATCTACACTCCATGTTACTTGAATTATTTTTTTTCTATCCATATGTTATTGGTTTCTCTTAAAGTTCTTAGCAGTGACAAGCAATTGTATCAAAAATATATGTATTGGCTTTGATTCAGTCAACAACTTGTCGTATCAAAACATCTAAGTTAGGTATGGACAAATTTCTCTTTTCTTTTGATGAAGGTTTTGATAAGAGAGTCTGTGTCTATGTTTTGTGGTATAACTTCAGTAACATGAGTCTATTTCCACGTATTGTGAAATCAAAACATATATTTTTTTCACTTTATCTATTATAAACACATTAACATAGCATGTCCACACATTACTCATCACTTATCCACACATCACCTATCTACGTATACGCCGTCCACAAATCTTCAATCCACACATCATCCATCCACACATCACCTTAGTGTCCACAATTGTCGTTTCCATTAAAAACCAAATTGTCCATAATTTGATGCTGGTCCGCAATAAAATGTTTTACATGTAAGAAATGTCTCTAAGTGTGGAAAGTAAAAAAATGTCCCTATGTGTAATCAATTCTTACTTTCGGGTCATGTTTGCAATCAGTGAATCACCACTCTTAACTGATTTAAAATCCAAACCATATTAAAATCCATTTTAAGATTGATAAAAAAAAACATTTTAAGTTATGGTTTTATAGAATCGAGTTTTGTGTAGTAAGTTTCCTTACTCTTGGGCCAAACTATCGAATCCGTAATAAAGCCCAAGTCTTGTGAGCTAAACGACGTCGTATGAATCATCGTGCAAAAACCCTCCTCTGCCTAGCCACTAGAGAGAGAGAGAGAGAGGCGCAAGAGCTGAAGGAGAGGGGAAGGAAGTAAGTAAAAAAATGGGGAAAACAAAGAAAGAAGATCTGAATCAATTTCTTATCACTCATCTCAACACAATCTACGATACTCTCCAGGTAAATCTTTATAAATTTCCTTTTTTAAAACGAAACTAGAATCCTAATTAGACACGAACTGTGCTTAACCATTTCTTTTTACAGTTATTCGACCGAACAGCATCTCCGACAGAGGATAAAGTGAACTGGAACGATGTTCTTCAGATGTCTGATCACCTCTCCAAACAAGCCACCATAGGTTTCTTTAACAAAAAAACTGACTTGTCTTTTTATTTTGTTTTTGTTTAATTTGTTTTAAATTTTAAATAGTGGGAATGCTGTGGAATGGAGGAGAAGCTCCAAAAGGTGAATCACTTAAGGAGACTATGGACTCTTACTTCAACGCTCTTCAAGGCTTCTTACTCTGTTGCCATGGTAGCACTGTTGGTGCTGGCCCAACTCTTTCTTCACTCATACATGTCTCTGTGAAGAAGATCGTTGATTCGAGCTTCAGATTGTTGCAAGGCTCTGTCTCCTTATACGGTATTAACTACGTTTCTCCTCTTCTTAGATGGAATTTGTTCAAACCCCACCCACTAGAAAGCTTAAATGGAATGTTTTTGAATCTTGGTAACTAGAGGGATCATATGAGAAGGAGAAGAAGCCGTCTATTCCACAGCTTTCAGGAGCAGTTTGGGAAGCATGCTCGAGTTTCAAGAAGGTTCCTGCAACAAACATCACTGCCATTGGGAGGGCTATTACTCAAGTTGCTGTTTCCATGAAGGATGTTCTTAGGGAGATGAAAGAAGTCAAACCTGCTTCACCTGAGGGTGAGGCATCTTGTGATGACGACGATGATGATGATGATTTAGGGAATGATTTGTCTCCTGAAGAAATGGAAGTTGCTCAAATGGTAGCTGAGATTGTGTCTGATACGATCATGGTGATAAAAGAACTCATCCGAGTTATCACCGGGATGATCAAGCTGGAGGATCCCAAGGATAACAGTGGGTTTGTGGACTCGCTTGAGAAGCTGCTGAAGCTGTGCAAAGGAACTGGAGATCAGATCGATGAGATTGGAGCTTGCGTTTATCCTCCACAGGAGATTGTCAAGATGAAGCAAGCGCTGAAGATAATTCAAGGAAACCTAAATGAAGTTGAAGCTGAAGTTGAGGGTTTGAAGAACTCTTCAGAAGCATTTACAGGAGCTTCCAGGAAGCTGAGGAACTCGATGAAAGACATGGAAGCTGTGCTAGACAAGAGATGTGAGGATGAAGTCGTTGCTGAAATGCAGAATGTTACTCTCGGCAGTTAGAAGAAAGTTTGGGGGGGATTTTCCAAGGTTTGTTACAATTTTGTGTGTGTTTTCTTACCGTAAAGTCGTGGACTTTATATGTTCTTGTCGGAAAGCAGCATGTGTCTTTTTTAAACACTCATGTAATATGTATTGTTCAATGTGTTGCGTTACATTTATTAGATTTTGCTTTCGTATTTGGAACAATGAGAACATCATTTTTTGGGAAATTAGATATCGTGAATAGATTTGGATACATTCTGTAGGCATGACCATGTGGGATCACGTCTATCGACTTCAGTGGCAAGGACTAGTATGTAATTTCTCACATGATTATGTTTTCCCAAAAACGGAATCCGATGGTTTAAAACTAATACCAATGACATTTTTTGGTTAAACGGTTCAACCGGTCGTGGTTTTGCTATTTTGTCTTACTATTTTATTAAAATGTTCCTGTAAAATTACATTTAATCAAAGAGCAGAAAGGTAAACAAATAACCGAAATTAACAGTTTCAATAGTGGATTAGAGGTTTAGGGAAGAAAAAAACCCAAACCGGATTAGAAATTGGGAGACGATTTAAACCGATCCGGTTAAGAGAAAGAAAGAGATAAACCCTTATTTTCTTAGCCTCCGGGAGATTTGATTGATCGCCGACGCCCACACGGGAGGGTAGAGAGATGTCATCACAAAGCTTCGTGGAACTTTAATGGCCGCTCCTCCTCCTCCTCCTCCTTTGAAAAAGCCAGAAAGCTCATCACTTAATCCTATGTGTTCCTCTCCATCTCATCAATGATCCTATGTCTCCGCCTCTGTCTCAGAGCTTCCAGATCCTTCTTCTCCACTACCTCCACCTCTAAGCTACGCTTCCTCTTCCTCTCATCCTCCTCCTCTTCTCTCCCTCTCTCCAATCCCGAGTCTCACTACGCCAATCTCATTTTGACTTCACACGGCTACAATCCCAATCCCAATCTCAACTGGTCTCCTCATCACTTCCACCCCCTCCTCACCGACCCTCATCTCCTAATCAGAGTCCTCACTATGCTCCGAGACAAGCCAGAGATCGCTTTTCACTTCTTCAAGTGGTTACAGAACCAACCGCATCTCAAACACTCCCTCCTCACCTTCTCTACCCTCCTCGAGATCTTGGTTGAGAATGATCTCATGACCAAAGCTTGTTGGGTCGCTGAGAGGTGTATCGATCTCGGTTTGCACCGCCAAATTTACAATCTTTTCATCAATGCAAGTCTCGTTCTTGTTGATAATAGTAATAAAGGGATTACCTTTAGGAGGATTCTTGATCTCTTGTTGTTGGTTTATACAAACAAGTCTATGGTGGAGCATTGTTTATTGATGTTTGAGGAGATGGTTAGTAAGGGTTTTTTCCCTAGTGTTAGAAACTGTAATCTTGTTTTGAGGCTTCTTAGGGATAAGAAGATGGTTAACGAGGCTCAAGAGGTTTATAACAAGATGGTCGGGCATGGTATTAAACCCACGGTTGTTACTGTCAACACTATGTTGGACGCTTGTTTTAAGTGTGGTGATTTTGAGAGAGTGCCGGAGATTGTGTCTGAGATGGAGAGGGGAGTTGTTGTGCCTAATGTTATCACCTTTAATACTATGTTGGATTCTTGTTTCAAGGTTGGGGATTTGCAGCAAGTGAGCCAGATTTTGTTTGAGATGGAGACAAGGGGAGTTGATGCGACCGATGTGACTTATAATATTCTGATTAATGGCTTCTCCAAGAATGGGAAGATGGAGGAAGCTAGGCGGTTTCATGGAGATATGACAAGATGTGGGTTCCATGTTACCACTTATTCCTTTAACCCTTTGATTGAAGGGTATTGCAAACAAGGCTTGTTTGATGAAGCTTGGGAGGTTGTTGAACTGATGCTCAAAGCGGGTGTTACTCCAACCACGGCTACTTACAATATTTATATACGCGCGTTATGCGAGTTTAGAAGAACAGATGATGCTAGACGGGTGTTACTTGGTATGGTAGATCCTGATGTTGTGTCTTATAACACTCTGATGCATGGATACGTTAAGGGGAGGAGGGTTAGAGAGGCTTTTCTCTTGTTTGGTGAGTTGATTGTTAGGAACATCCCTCCCAGTGTTGTCACTTACAATACTCTGATGGATGGTCTTTGCGAGTCAGGGGATTTGGAAACTGCTCAGAGGTTAAAAGCAGAAATGTCCAGGCAAAGGATTGATCCTGATGTGAAGACGTACACCACTCTGGTAAAAGGATTTGTCAAGAGTGGGAATCTATCCATGGCTACTGCAACTTATGATGAGATGTTGGAGAAAGGGATTAAGCCTGATAGATATGCATACACTACAAGGATCGTGGGTGAACTGCTGCTTGGAGATAAAGACAAAGCTTTTCGTCTGCAAGAAGAGATGGTGGCTAAGGATCATAATGCTCGAGATCTGATCGCATATAACGTTTGTATAGATGGACTCTGCAAGGTTGGGGATCTGGAGAAAGCGATCGAGTTTCAGCGCAAGATTTATAGAGATGGTCTCGTCCCTGATCATGTTACTTACACCACGGTTATTCGTGCTTATTTGGAGAAGGGACGGTTTAAGATGGCGAAAGTCTTGTATCAAGAAATGCTGAGGAAGAAGTTATCTCCCTCTGTGATTACCTACTTTGTGTTGATTCATGGTCATGCCAAAGTGGGAAGGCTACAACAAGCCTTCCAGTATTCAGCCGAGATGGAGAAGAGAGACGTTCGTCCAAATGTCATGACCTGCAACGCTCTTCTACATGGCATCTGCAAAGCTGGTGAGATAGATGAAGCTTACAGATACTTCCGCAAGATGGAAGAAGATGGGATTCCACCGAACAAATACAGCTACACCATGCTTATAAACAAGAACTCTGACCTTGGTAAATGGGAAGAGGTTGTGGAGTTGTATAAAGAGATGCTAGATAAAGAGATTGAGCCAGATGCTTACACACGCTGGGCCTTGTTCAAGCATTTAGACAAAGACCACGCATCACGAGAGGTTGAGTTCCTTGAAAAGATATTACGCAGTTGACGAGGGAAGCAGAAATGTGCTGACTTTGAATGAACATATTTTATCTTGGAGCTAGCTGGCCGGTTTTTGTCCCTGAGAGTGCATATGGTTCAATTTTACAATTACTATGCACAAAATTCTTGTTGATGGCTCAGCTTGATTGGTAGGTACAAAACTCTTCTCTTAGCTTACACAAAGACTTGTGCACTGTTTGTGATATCAGACTGTACTGCCAGCTTCTTCTTCTTCTTCAAGGGGAAAACGCAGCTCTGAGCTATGGCTGGAATGAATCCAATGTTGTTGAAGCTCGTTTACATTTAAGCATATAACATTCTTACCTACAAGTAGGGCGCTGATAGGAATAAAGACCACACATACAATGGTGTTGTTTGCAATGAAGTTCACCCTCTGTGAAAGAAGATTCATGTGTATTTGTTTAATTCTTTGAAAACAACTTTTTTTTTGGGAAAGTGTGAAATTGAAAACACATACAAACTTCAATGTAGGACATTTATGGGAAGAAAGCTAAAGTAACAAAGGCTCTGATTCTCTCTAGACTCTTGAGCATGTTTTAGGTAAAGATTATAGTCAATGCCTCTATTTTGTAATCTTTGTCACACATTCTTCTTTCTGCCAATCATATGATTCACTGAGTCTTTTTTTTTTTGTACACATCATATTCAAAAGCTCTTTTTATCTATTTGCAGCAAAGAACAAAAAAAAAACGTTTCTAATACCTGAGTTTCCACCAACAAACATTATACCAGGTTTGTTAGACGTTTTTAGCAATTATTTCATTTATCATTTATACGGAAATTATTAAATATATCGATCCAAAATTTCATCTTATACTATTAATAATCTGTAACTAATAAGATTCTCAGTTAACTTAATTACAAAAAATCAACGTTGCTAAAAATGAAGATGGTCCCACCATAATTATTTTTTACTTGGGTTCTTTATAAAGACAACAAGTTGTGGAACCCTAACCCCCGAGACAAACCATCATCTATCTCCAAACGTAAACCCTAAAAATGACCACCATCGCCTCTCTCACCTGAATGTGTATCAAATCCAGATCTCATGGCTCTCGATTCTTCAGGCAAACACACCCACGACGCAAGATTGAGACTTCGGAGAACCCCAAACGAAGACCACGAGCCGGAGAACTACGAAGATCTACCGTTGGATTTCAGCCATGCTCTGTTCAGCTCCCTCGAGCGCTACTTGCCCGATAAGGTTCTCAATTCCACAAGAATCGACAAGGCTCGTTTCATGAGTCAGCTTCTTCAGAGTTACTCCCCTGCCAGTGAGCGAAACAGAGTAAAGTCTCCACCTTTTTTTTTTTTTATTAAAACTCTGTTTTCTTGTTTAAGTTCGAATCTGTTAAACTCTGTTTCTTTCTTCTTTGGGGGCACAGATTCAGAGGCATAGAGAGTACAGGCAGAGGATCTTGTCTTCTTACCAGGTAAAGTTTCTATCTTTTGTTCTTCTGTGTTATCTGGACTGTGTCAATTGAATCTTGGTTTATGTATGTTTCCAGCGTCTGCATGGAGATATCTATACTCTTGACCCTTCTCGCTTCTTCGTGCCTTCGTTTCTTGATGCTGTTTGTCAGTCCTCGGAGGAGAGGTTTACAAGTACTATTGTTCGATCTGCTCCTGGGATCTACACTTTTGATATGCTTCAGCCACGCTTTTGTGAAATGTTACTAGCAGAGGTTATATGAAATTTGAGTTAAAAAGCTCTTCTTCGTTTTCATACTATTTTCAGATATTAACTTGTTTGGTCAGGTTGAACATATGGAGAAATGGGTGTATGATTCAAGATCCACAATTATGAGACCCAATACTATGAACAGATTTGGTGTTGTTCTTGATGATTTTGGCTTTGAAAGCATGCTTCAGAAGTTGGTTGATGACTTCATTAGTCCTATATCTCAAGGTTGGTTTTAGCATTCCTTCTACTTGTGATTGTAAAAGCTTATATTAATATATATGTGCTCATGGGTTTTGGTTTTTGATCTTGTGTCAGTTTTGTTCCCGGAAGTCTGTGGAACTGGTTTAGATTCTCACCATGGCTTTATTGTTGAGTATGGAAAAGACAGGGACACTGATCTTGGTAAGTATTGGGAAGCTCTGCCTGCTGTAGTCTCTTTTTCTTGGTTAAGTTTGCTTTGGAGTGGTGGGAACATCTAAAACTTGGTTTATTGATTTTAGGGTTCCATGTGGATGATTCAGAGGTTTCTTTGAATGTCTGCTTGGGTAAACAGTTTTCTGGTGGGGAGCTGTACTTCAGAGGTGTGAGATGTGATAACCATGTGAACTCTGAAAGCGGTGGAAATGTATTTTACTAATGTTGCCTCAAACCACAAACATGTTTCTCCATGATTATAGTGAGCTTTTTTAAAAGATAGCGGTCAACTCATAAGTTCTTCACTGATTCTTGTGTAGGAAAATTATGATTACTCTCATGTACCTGGTCGAGCCATTCTTCATCGTGGACGTCACCGCCATGGTGCTAAAGCTACTACTTCTGGACACCGAGTCAACTTGATTCTGTGGTGTAGAAGGTAAAAAGCCCCTTTCACACTGATCTCCCCATTTAACCAAAGTTTCTAGAAATGCTACATTAGTGTGTGTGTATACATTTTCATCAGCCAATGCCTTTGCATCTGTTTCTTCATAAACCATTTCAAAAGTGGCAGCAAATTATGTTCATGTATATCTCTCACATTTCCCTGTATTTTCTCATGTAAAGCTCAACTTTTCGAGAGATGAAGAGTTATCAAAGTGATTTCTCAAGTTGGTGCGGAGGATGCAAAGTTGATAAACAGAATAGGCGGCAAGCGTCAGTTAAAGCAACCATGGAGGTATATAAATACATGATAATATTTAAGCAATTGTTTTCTTTTTCCTTATGTGGTAATTTGCAGTTGCTGAAGAGGAGAACAGCAGCAGAGAAGACGCTTGTTGAGCTCTCTTCAACACCACCTGCCGACTAAACTATGACTGGGTCACTTGGATGTCTAAAAAAAAACCCAACTATGTTATTTGTATCATTTCGGTGTGTTTAGTGTTGTATATAGAGGCAATGGAAACTCTTTGTTTGTACGCATTAACATTAAATTTTGTCACGTTTCTTCAGATTTTTGTATCAATAAGTGAAAGCCAAATGAAACGAAGTTTTAATCTTTCATATTTTGGTATTATTGAGTGCATCTGTTGGAGTGGTTGAGAATGT